TCTTCAACCAACTAGTCAGTTTTGTGAAAAATTATACCCTATTCTAGACCCAAACGCTCTGATTTATATACCCTATCCTAGAGTAAACTGCTTGAAAAAACCATACCGTTCACAGCGGCACATACCTATATAGCTTATCTATGACAGTGCCCCCCCCCACCCCCCCATCCCCGGGGGAATTGACTAAGTTGTTAGTCGACCACTTCTGAAGAGATCGCCAATTAAAAGCCAAAGTGAAGTAGCCCATTATTCTTTTCACCAACGTTTAGCTAAGTCAGTGCATCTTGAAAAGTTCAGTTTTGCAATCCATGTTCATCTTTTCAATCCCTAACCATCCATGTTCCTTTATGGTTTATTATTATCCCTTTGGCGTTTTTCTATTTTAGTAAACTACTATTCTCAGGTTTCCTTCAATTTAAAGGTAATTTTTTACATGACCAAAATAACTCAAAATACCGTGACTGAGCTCATTTAATCTTTGGGAAGAAGTGCTGGTCAGGTACTTGAGAGACAATAAAGACTATTCACACTAGCTCTGTGGTTACTGTAGTATAAAAAATTGGACTTGCAAAGCCTCTGCAATACGTCCTTTTTACCTCCATTTTTGGTTTATTTTCAGGAGTTATCTTCGGATTATGACATGCCTTGATCCTCTCAATGATTGTCAACTGTTCTTTATACGACCTTCAAAATAAAGCATCAGTACATCAGCTGATCGACAAGTTTTTAAAAGGAGTAAGACCAGTTTAACAGGTTTTTGCATTGTATTAGAACTCTTGAATACGTGCAAGGCAAAAGAAGCTCTCATGAGTGAGAAGAAACCTGTTGACAAATCTCCTTATACTATACATTTTGTACTAGAGTGTACTATAGCTTGGCCCTTTTCTCATCACTAAAACATCAATATAATTACTTGACGTGTTTTACGCGCTCACCAGAATACAACACTTAGTTCCAGAGTCAAGAAAAAGGAGCTTTTCGAAAACGCTCTTCAAACCGGAGGAATTTGAAAACGCTGGCTTTGCGTTTTAGTGTGGGTGAAAAACATTTTGAAAAAGAAGCTTTTCGAAAACTATACAATCACGACAATCATGTGATTTCCCTACCAGAGTTTTTCTCAAACACAACTTCAAAATAACCGGTTATTGTTGGATTTTCAAATTTCTTCGGTGTAGTGAAGACGGGGCCTTGTGACACACTCGGCCACTTTTTTGTTCTTACCACATTTTGATGTCATCTGTAATCAACTGCTCAACAAAAGCGCGGCATCATGGAATCTATTCGTTTAAGCTCTACTTCTAAAATTATGCAGTGATGCCTACACACTGTTACTTACCAGCCTTCTATAAGTTCTTTAAACTCTTCAAATGACTTTGGTGCTGAAAATCAACATTACAGCAAACGTTAAGATATTAAAATGACACACAGGATTTGAAATATTGAAAAACCACTGAACTAATTAAAGCTGAGGTCTACCAAATGGTTATCTTGATTAATGTCAAGTCAACAAAAACGTCAGGTTCGACAAAAAAAGTGCGCAATATATGGGAAATGTTTAGGATGTAGTTTACCTTTAAATGTAAATGGCAGCTCTTTCTTTGACTGGTCGGCTTCGGGCCTGTTTTTCTGCTAAAGAAACAGCACAATACAACAAAACGTTCCACAACGTTAACGCAATATCCTGGACTGCAAGGCCTTCTCTATGCATAGGCAAATCAAAACAAGGCTTAAATCACTCGTCCAGAGTTAATAGTACCTGCATCAGCAGGCAATAGGCCCTTTTGCACAACCCGGTCTCATGGTACGAAGTCAGCCATGCTGGGATGCAAGTTACACCGTGGAACTTCCAAAACAAAGCAACTTGCACCAGTCCAGCTTGGCTTGCCTTCGTTTTGGAAGTCCCACCGGGTAACTTGCACCTCAGCATGGCTGATTTTGTACCATGTGACCAGATCGTACAACTGAGGGTCTATTGAAATACTTAGCTCTTTATCAACAAACAAGTTGCACTAAGAAGAATTTTTTTCAAAAAAACACAAGACACTTTCCAAAGTCAATTTTGTGTTGTTGAAAGGGTTGCAAAACTGTTTGTGTTCATTTTAATCTGTAATGTTTTTATTTTATTTTTTAATGTTTTTATTGGTTTTGTTTGTGTGAGTGTAAAATGACAGGAAAATGACTGGGGAGATGGAACAGAAAAGTAAGATGTACTGCATGTATGTACTGTAATAAAAAACTATTATATTAATAATAGAGTCTGCTAAAAGATATGTTTCAAGAAGCAATTTACCAGAATGTTTTCTTGCTGTTCTTTTTTCATTAGTGCTTTTGAGTCAGTGTTATCCAGTTCATCATTGCTCTCTGAAGAAGTAAACAACCACCACTTGAAGTTACATTAAATGCAAATATGGAGCCTTGTTAAATCAAATATTAGTTCTTCTGTTGTCTGATCAAATTTCCTAAACCACAGATAGCGACAAAATAGCCTCAACAATGATGATTTATTCCTTAACTGAAAGCATTTCATAACAAACACAGATAACTTACACAATGTCAATGTTTACATTAACATACTATTTCATCAAAGTCATTGCTATTTGTTATCCATACATCCATCTGAAGGTCCTTGTCAACATCATCATTTGATTTTATTCAATTCTCTTTCGCAAACTCTCATTACATGTGGAAACCTACTTGTCTGCACACACACCTTCTATGTTCAAAAAACCCTAGTAATCTGTTCACACAATTTCTATGTTCACCGAGATTGGGAGCACAAGAAAAATACAAAATGCGGGGGATTGAACGAATGTAAATGCTAAGATCTCCTGCTCTGCACTGATTCTTGCATGCTCACTACGTACTCTTGTTCACTTTTTAAAAGAGAAGAAAAAGGAAATGGCTGAGGACAGCCTGAAAGCATTGTAATTGTGCATTGTATTTCTCACCTTCAGATTCAAGGTCAGAACCATTATCATCCTCAGAACTTTCTTCTTCATTATTTTCCATATCGTCATCATCCTCATCATCATCATCACCAGTAGAATTATCACCTTCTTCTTCTTGATCTTCTCCTTCATTGGACGCACTTTCATCAAGTTCTTCATCGCTGTTATCAGTATTATTCAACTCATCATTACCTTCATCTGCAACATTAGATATGCCACAAACATCTCTAATGCATTTTACTATGCTGCTCAACAGAGTACAATAAACAGATTTATTTACATTTGTACACTTTTGAAATACTGTTATGACTGTCTGATATACTGACTGAGAAAAAGTATATGTAAGTGAATATATGAAAGATCATATTTGAACTGCGGAGAAAGATATGAAGACATGATTGATCATCACAGTTATATAGTTACACAACTTAAGCAGTTGTGAAATTAAAGCCTGAAAAAAATTCAGGCCTGAACGGAGTTCGAACCCATGACCTCTGCGATACCAGTGCAGTGCTCTACCAACTGAGCTATCAAGCCAACTGGGAGCTGATCATGTTGTGAATTCATTATATACCCGTAGATGGTGAAGAATGCAAGTGAATATATGAAAGATCATATAATTATTTGAACTTCACCACCTACAGGTATATAATGAACAAGTTGTGTATATAACTGCGACGATCAATCTTGTCTTCAAAAAACATATGTCTTACCCTCAGCATTTATCATTGACCCATCTTGATAACTTAACAAACATCTGTCATCTTCAGCTGGTGTGAAGCTGTTTATCACAACAATACAGAAACGCAGGGAATGAGATTTTAAATGTGATATGCAAGTTTTAGGTAAGAAATGAAATACTGTCTGATCCACTGGTCAAAAACATTTCACTATTTTTAGGGAAAACTGGCTTTATGGAAGGAATAGCAGGTAATACCACACAGTCTGCCAGGTGTTATGTTAGTTATGACAAGTATAAAACGGATGTGTCCAAAAACTCAGATTTCAGACTCTAGAAACTCTGAGTCTCTAGGTTACTGTCACATGTGATATACAACAGTTGATCTGGACATCATTTACCTGTCACCGAGGTCATCAGCTGATATGTGTTTAGGTTTCTTGTCCACAAGAGGTAAACCTTTCATTCTTCTTTGCCGTTCAAGCTGAATCACAAAGAAATAAGAAAATAGAAAAACTTGATGAATCAAAAAATTAACAACAATAATAATGTATTAAAAAAACAATGTACTGTTGACGATTTTCCAACAACTTTCCGAAGATTCTGCAAAAATTGTCTGAAGGCCACACAAAAGTTTCTGAACATTTTCTGAAAATTTCCAAAGATTACCAAAGATTTCCAAAGATAACTGAAGATTGCTGAAGACTTTTGAGGAAGATCCAAAGATGTTTGATCACACACCAACAAATATACCGGTAACTGCAGCTTAAGGGTCAAATATGATATCAGTGAAGTCTTCAATATTTTCACTGGTGGGATATGGAAAATACGCCACCCGAGTCCCAGATGTGGTTTCGTATGAATTTTACAAGTGGTGTATTTTCCAGTAAAACACTCGTGTTTATATAATAAATTGCAACATTATATTATTTATACCATTTGATAAGGTATAAAAAAACTCCTTAAGAACAATGCTTTAGTTTGCATTAGAGTGTTTTTTGGTCAAAAATGCACTTCAAATGATTTAATATCTGGAGCATTCTTGTTACCACAGTTTATTGGCAATTGTATCAGTGGGAATATTTCTATGATACTTGACATATTAACTTACCTCTAATTTGTTGAGTCTTTCCTGTTCTTCTTTGGCAATCTCATTTTCTGACTTTAATCTGTCAGTGGCCTAAAAACAACACATACATTTTGCATTAAGTCTCCTCTAACAGGGTGTTAGATATTAAAATAATAAAATACCATAATTCTGAATCATTTGATTGGACCACAAGTTCTGCAATAGCCCTTTTCACGGTTAGTTTTTCGCATTTGCTTTTAGTTACAATGAAATCCAGTGTGGTTGCGAGGCAATTTTCGGGCTGAAACAACATGTATAAAATAGCCCAAAATTGCATCACATGCATGCTAGATTATAATAATTAATTATTAATAACTTACTTTGCCTTTAAGCTCAAATGCCAGTTGTCTGACTGCAATGTCATAATCATCTGCCTTGGAAGTTGATGTCTCTTCACTGTGAGGCCCCTAACAAATGAGTCAAAAATTGTTCTGTCTAAAATACAGTCAAGTTATTGTTCATAATAAACTCATTATAAGGTCCCATGCACAAGCAGATATGCATCTGTAAGGTACCTGCAAGTACTAATAAATTAGAATAAAAAGGGCTTTAACTAAATCATGAATATTACCATTTGCGAGACAAGATTTTGTATTTTCTTCCAGTCCTTATCAAGCTTGTCTCTTAATGTGACTGTTTCCTCTTTTGCCATTTGACGTTCATGCTAGAAATAAATGCAAAAAAAGATTTTAAAATGCTACACTTCCATGACTCTGCAACTTGAATTTCACAGAAGGGCTCGAAAAAAGTGCCATCCAGTTGTCAGGGACAAGGAGATTTCCTGGCGGGCAAGTAACTGTTCATTCTCACCTGCCCGATGGGCAAGGGATCACGCAGGTCATCTGCTAACTAAATCATTAAAAGAGCAAACTAAGACTTGCCCAGGCTAAGCAAAATTTGAGAGCTGCCTTGTCCCAAGGGCAAGCTTGAATTCAAGTATGTTTTGAGCCATGCACAGTATTTGACCACTGGGAAATGGATTTGACTCATCTGCTATGCATACCAGGCGAATGCTTATATAACTCAATCTATTTATCAATCAATCAATCAATCAATCAATCAACAGACACCTAGGGTATTTGCAGACCACTCCATTTCTTCAATGGACATCAAGGGTTCTTGGCCAAACCAAGAGCCTTGGTCACTTCCAGCAAGTTGTTTTCTTTTCTTAACAGAAATGTTTTATTGCATTGTTTTATTGTTTTATTTCATTATCTCTTCTAAAGGAATTCTAAGGATATACTTAAATTCCCCCAGGGTTTTACCTATGCGTGAGACTATGGCACCTTCCCAGTTAATTAACTTTTATTTGAAAATTACATGCTTTTCTGGATAACTTGGATGCTTTTTGAGATTTCTATATTATTTTCTGCAAATATTAGGTGAAATGCATGTCTCCAATTTAGTTAAATAAAACAAAAAAAACCTTTTTTTTCTACTCTTGAAGGTGGAAAGTAACCTTAGTTAACTACAGTTAGTTTTGATTAGCCTTTGGATGACGTCAAAAAGCAACTGTATCAAGACTTGTCATGTTTCATTACATTCCAGACATTGAGAAGAGAGTTCAAAATACAATATACAAAGAAGCACTTTTGACAAACATTAAAGTGTATGGAAAAGAGATGAAACACTTTGTCAAATGCTTGTGATATCTTTTAATCAAAACTACAACTATAAGGAGAAAATGAAGAATTGAAATTTACTAAAATTAAGCTACCAGTAATTAAGATCTGATATCCAAACTATGGTTATGGCTATGATTTCCTTTGTTTAAAATTTTCAAATTAGGAGTGAGTTTCAGAATGACATTGCATTAAGAAAACACTATGCCGCTCACCTTCTTGATCTTGGCTTTGGCAACTACTTCTTCCATGATCTCTTTCTTACTCTTGTGTTTTTCTGCAGTCTAAATCACACATGAAGAAACAAATTATTACCTTTTTTGGCAAGATAAGTCAAAGGGATAAAGCTATAATAATTCTCAAGATACATAGCATTCTTGTCAAAGAAAAACTAAATAGACCTAAATAGACCTAAATTTGGAGCTAAATAGACCTCAGAGTAATAAATAACATTGAGCAGACCTGAGCTAATAATTATAAAGGTACTATCACCTGCTTGTCATCTGCGCTTTTCTTTGTGAGAAAGCCACCAAAGTGTAACTCTTTTACGTCATCAGCTGCAAAACAATTAGAGTTGAACATCCACTCGGCAGGAGGAGGCAGCATGGCCGAGTGGTTAGAGCGCTGGATTTGAAATCTGTTGGTCCCGGGTTCAAATCCCATTCTGACAGCTAACTGATGTTGTTCTCGGTGGCCCCGAGTTCAACTTCTCAGCTGTGTTTGTAAACAGCCAACTGGTCTGCCTCCCACCAGTTGGGATTCTTAACCTAGTTATGTTTATTTGAATATTTATTTATGATTGTTTGTTTACAGTGGTCCTGAAAAGCCCCAATGGGGAGTGCCCAATTAAGTATACAGTATACAGTGTACAGTATACTTTAAGACACCCCATGTGGTTAGACACACTACAACAGAAGTTAGTTGGTAATAGTGGCTGATGGCAGGAAAACTTGGCATCTCTCAAGGATATAATAGATCATTCATTACCCACCAATTCAGGGTTATACACCAGATCGCAAAAATCTTGAAGTGGGTTCATGGCTGGTAGTATTAAAGTGCTACTCATCATGATTGTTATTATCATTGAAGAACATCTAGATGACATATATGTCTCCTGATACTAGCTATTTCTAGAAGCACTGTCAACTGTATGAAATTACAGTTTGATCCTGAATTTTTGAGCCACCTAAGGACTGGAAATTGGTTCAAACAATGGGCAGGTAGGGTACTTCTAGGACTTCTAGGAGCAAAAAGTGTGTCAACGATATTGAAAAAACAATCAAGGGCACAAATGATCAGGATTCTACAGTGTTCAATCTTAGCCCCTCAACTTTTTTGTTTGTCATTGTCATCATCACTGTCATCCTCAGTCTGTTAAACGTCAAATGGTACATGAAGCATCAACAAGTAAGCTATTTTTACTAACAAGTCGGTGTAACTTTTACCAGCATCCTCCTTGTCGACATTGTCATCATCATCATCATCACTCAGCTGGACATCTTCAAATTTGTCAATCTCACCAAGTGACTGTCCAAGGTGAGTCAGTTCCTCATCCTCCAGTCTATACTTTCCATGGCGTTCATGATGATGCTGAAGATCAATAATACACAAGTTATCAAGTTTACATGTAAGTGCAAACTCTCAATTCAACCCAGCAGGGCTTCTGATATTTCGTGCGGTTGCGGAGCCACGAATTTCAAGTAAATCCGTAAAATCCTGCAAAATTCAGCAAAATATCATGAAATTCATTGGAAATCATACCAAATACATGTCGGTGCAACATATTTGAAACTTATCTTGGCTGTTAGGGCTGTTTAGTTGCTGTAAACTTGTAAATTTATCATGAAACTTCGTCACGGCAACGAGTAAACAGCATCCAAAAGCTACCAGGTGTTCTTAGATTAATGTTGTGAAAAGCTGGGCACTCACTGTGGCCACAATGTAAAAAGCTTTGCCATTGGCGCATTTCTTGAGCACATTTTTGTTAGAAGAGCAAATGATGATTTCTGTTAAAAAGAACCTTGTCGTCAAACAAATACAAACACGTGCTATAGTTCAAACGAATTGCTCAACTTTTCCTGCAAAATCTCCAGTTTTACAAAGGCAACACTTAAAAGTAGTCAGTGTTTCTGTTGCTGTTGTAATTGCATAGGCTAACAGTCATCGTTTTCTGGAAAAAAATGGCGAAATTGCTGTCTCTTTTAATTACAAACGTTCGTCAAATCAGTGCAAAACCGATCGCTTTCAGCAAAATTTTCCCAGAAAACTCCCACGCAATTGGCCGCTTTTACTGATCGTTTTTTAGCAAAATTAGCCCCAAAAATTCCCAAGAATTTCCTGCGAAATCGGCAGTTTTTTCCACGAATTTGTCTCTGGAAATCCTGCGAAATTTGACTTTTTTTCGCGACCTATCAGAAGCCCTGACCCAGCTAGTTCAGCATTGTGAAACTAAGTTCTTAAGTGGGGCTCTTCAATTCCATTTCCCTTCAATACACTTCCAACCTTGACTTGCCAGTTCTGCACCCAGGAACATGAATACTGGCCAATGTGCAGTAGGATAACTTATGAAAAAATTAGAATCTTATCCAACACAGTATGCAGATTCAAATTATTCTGACCAAATATTTCTGTAAACCATTACCTTCTTCTCCATAGTAAATCTCTTCATCATCTTGTCTTCAAGTGTCATCTTCTCATCGTATTCACCAAAGCGGCGATCAATGAACATGTTAGCCTATTTAGAAATTGATAATCTGAATATCATGTTATGTTTCTCATAAAGGAGCCATGGTCATATTACCAATATTGTTAATTTAAATTTTATTGATCAAGAAATTATTCATCCAACCAGAAATACCAGGTTATAAGACACTTTTGGGATGATACTTTGGTAGGAACCTGTTTCTGAAATACTTAATAATTCTTTATTAATAAGTTTCATCCAAGAAATTACTACACAGTGGATTCAAATAGCCCCAAATTCCATGGTTTCTCAACGAGTGGGCATGATCACAATGCTGAAAAAGTTGGTTATTTGAAACAGTTATTTCAAACAGTCCTATCTGCTATCTGCTAGTGTAAGCTGGAATAGAAACTTTTTGCTTTTCAGTGTCTCATCTGGAATTGCCCTAAAATCTAATAAAATGATAAAATTCTAAAACATATAGTTTTTATGTCTGTAACTACCTAGAGGTTTTTTGATTCCTTTATTGTGTTACAATCTTCTGTGTATTCATGAACATTACAGATACTTATATGGAAAATACTATTAATAATTCCCTGTTGTAATTGCTCACCTTATTTTTTTGCTTGTACTCAACCAAAAGTGTCTTCTGTCTCTGCATAATTATTTATTAATTAAACAAAGAAAACATGATCAGAAGATGTTATCCCTGTGCCAGTAATGTAGAGGAGAAACAAAACAATGTCACAAAGGGACGACCCAACTTATAAAAGCAGAGTGAAATATTTTAGATAGTAAATGGTTTGAACCTAGGAGTATCAGTAGTTTGTATAGTGTGATCATCCAGGTGAGGGTAGTTCTGAAAAGAACTGTTGTTGGTGACTGACGTTTCCATAACCTGGGCAGAAGTCATCTTCAGAGTCAAGTGAATAGTGTTTGTCAGTCGATGATGTCATAAGTCTGGTCCGTTGAACGTGATTGGTCAGTTTAGCCATGATGGTATTGGCTGGAAGACTCGTGTAAAGTTTGTCATCAGTCATTGGTGGGTTTCAATCCATCTATTGTTAGTCAAATGGGTCAGTTTTTGGTCCGTTTATTGTTAGTCAAATTAAGTCGGTCTGTTAGAAGTCTATTTGTCGGTTTCGTTTCCATCATGGATAAGTCGTTTGTAATGCGCCAGTAGTAGTTGACATCTGTTAAGTGGCGTTTGTTCTAGGTTAGTGTACCAGCTTTCCAGAGTCAGACATTGTATTGTAGATCTTTCACATGTAGCTACCAATGGACATGTAGGTATGGTTTATCAGGGATCTAGTTTTGAAGGCACTTATATCATTTATTACATGGCAACATGGTAGAATCAATAGGAACACTGGAATGCCAGAAACCTGGAAACCCAAAAATCTGGAATGCTGGAAACCAAGGCTCGGAATCCTAAAACCTTGAATGACTTTTTTCAGATAAGAAAAGGAGTTAAGATACAGTGCAGCTCAGATATATCCGAACCAAAATATACGCGTAATTCGTTAGCCGAATACGCGTATACGCGTATACGCGTATATGCATATACGCACATACGCGTATGCATATACGCACATACGCGTATACAGTATATACGCGTATGCCTGATTAGTATGTATGAGCTAACCTATTGTTTTTTCTTTTCTTAACAGGTCATTGTTGTTTTCAATGGCTTGACAGCTTGCCACAGATCGAAAAAGAGTTTTCTTTATTTTGAATATGCGTATACAGTATACGCGCGTATGCCTTCAGACCAGAGCTATTAGCAAAATGTTGGCTGAAAGTAACATTTTGCAATTGGGCACTTGACAGAAAATTAACCAACTGAATATAATTAAAAGAGAGAGTACATGTATTTTGCCATTAAATCAAAAATTTACCGCTTTTTTTTTGTCAAATAGAACCTACACGCTTCAACAATCCCATCTTCATGGAGCAAACACAACCGAATGATAACATTTTTTCGACACAAAGTAAACAAGGTCCAAGCAAGCACGCGACTTGGAAACGTGTGCCGAAACACAGAACTTTTCCTTGAAGTAAATTAAAAATAACAAAATGTGAGTGGCGTACCGTAGAAACTTAAGTAAACAATTCTTTTGTCGCGGAAAGAGTATTTTACCATTTGCAACAGTTTGTGTCAGATATAACCGGAGATATCATTTCCTCCACAAGGTCTTCAGAACGCTTCAAACAATAAACATTCTTGCAAGCGACTTGCCGACGCATGCCGAAATACTGAACTTTTCCTCAAAGAAAAAAATAACTAAACGTGAGCGACACACCAGTGAAACTTCGATAAACAATTATTTAGCTAAAGAAAGAGCATTTTACCGTTCGAATGAACGATTTGTGTCAAATATAACCGGAGATATAATTTTTTGGCAAGGTCTTCGGAACGCTTCAAACAATAACCATCTCACAAGCAACTTCCCGACGCATGCCTAAACACAGAACTTTTCCTTCAAGAAAAAAATAACTAAACATGAGCAGCATGCCTTAGAAACTTTGATAAACAATTATTTAGCTAAAGAAAGAGCATTTTACCGTTTGAATGAACGATTTGTGTCAAATAAAACCGGAGATTTCGTTTTTTCAA